TGTTTGTACTTTGTTATCAGCAAACCCTGTCTCAACCAGGTTCTTTATTTTTTAACCTAAAAGGAAATAAGACTTTTAAACTCTTTTCTGTGACAGCACTGATGGGATTGTGGAGAGGACAGAGAGCCACCAGGCCCTGAGCTCGGTGCCAGAGGGACTTTTGTGATATTTTAGGGCTGCTGGAGCTCATCCTGCAGCTGGAGGGGGGTCAGTGGCCCCAGGGCCATGCAGGGAGCATGAGGCTCTTCCCCCCAGTGACTGTTTGGACCTTTCCCTCTGCAGCAATGGCAGATGAACATTGGGATCAGTGAAGACAACGGGCTCTTCTCCTGCTCCATCTGGAGGTGTGTTCTGTGTAACCTCAGCCAAAGCAGCAGCCAGGCAGGGGGGATGTGGGACAGGGATTCTGCTTCCCAGGTGGATTTGCCTCGCAGCAGGGAGGGTTTTCCTCTCCCAAGGGGTGCTGTGGCTCTGCTGGGCTCTTCACCCAGCGTTGGTTTATGAACATTCTGTGTCCCCCTCTCCCACCCTCAGCGCTGGATGGAGCTGCAGGAGATCCAGAGGTGGCTGTGGAGGGAGGGAGGGAACTGGGAATCCTTCACTCCTCTGCACCTCCACCCTCTCTGTGGATGACAAAGGCTCTGCTTTCTCGTTTCAGGCCCCAGGGGAAGTCTTATCTCTTCTTTACCCAGTTTAAAGCTGAAGTGAAAGGAGCCAAGATAGAGTATGCCATGGCTTATGTAAGTCCCAGCTGATCCCTGGGAAGCAGGAGTGTGGGAGGCTGCTATAAAACATGAATTAGGCACGGAAAACATTTATTAGACATCTGTGCAGTGAAATGTGCTCCAGCACATCCCGAATTAGAGACTGGTGGCAGGCAGGAGAGGGGCTGCAGGTGGGCTCCTCTGCACCACTGTGTTTCTGCCCCCTCAAATCCGTGGGTTTGCTGGGAAGGGGGGGGCTCCAAAAGGCACAGCACGGCGGGAATCTTGGATCACCCCAACAAATCACGTGTGACAAAGTAAATAAAACCTCTCTGGGTGGTTTTGTCTGGCTCCTTCTTCCATTTCCCAGCCTTTAGGGGTGAGGTTTTCCATCACCCCAAGGACACCAGTCTGTGCTTTAATAGGAAATGGAAAAACAGGCAGAGATTTTCCTGCAGATTTCCTTCGTGGACGCAATTCTTTCGCTCCACACGGCTCACAAATCCGTTCTTCTTTTTATTTATTATTATTTTTTTCCCCCCAAAATGCGCTGCTGTTTGTTCGCTTCGAAGGCTGTAACTCCTTGGATTGCCTCAACCCTCTCACACCTTCTTCCTTCCTGTTTCAGTCTCAAGCTGCTGTGGGTGCCCAGAACGACATCCCCTTAAAACAGGAAGAGTTTGAGGTCACCGAAACAACAGGTCTGTGGCCGAGGGAACCGTGTGAGGAAGGGGGGGCTGTGGGAGGCAGTTTAAGCTTCAATCCTCTACACTGACAGGTGGCAATGTGTGGAAGGACAGTGCCAGGGGTGCAGTGCTCTGGAGAACTGGCAGCAGGGGTTTGGGGCTCCCATTCCAGCTCAGGGAGGTGGAGGAAGGAGGGTTTATCCCACCAGCCTGTCACGTGCAGGAGGAGGAAGTTCAGTGCCCAGGCTCGCTGCCTTCCCCACCCTGGAAGGGACCCAGCAGGGCTGTTTTGTTCATGCCTCTGAGCTTTTTTTGGGCTGTTTTGTTCGTGCTTTCCCATCTGTTGATCCTGTGCTTGTTCCCTCTCTCTCTCTCCCTCTCTCTCCAGTGTCTCACAGGGAAGGCAAGTTCCGTTTTGAACTGTCCAAGCTCATGATTGTGGCAAAAACACCCCGTGACGAGCTGTGACCCCCGAGGCCAGCCCTGGGCAGGGTGTTTTGGCCAGAAGGACGTGGCAGGAAATGAAGATTCCTGGTTTAAATGAGGGGTTTTTTTTTGGTTTTCTTTTTGGGGTTGGCCAGACTTTTCTGTTTTTCAATACTGAAACGTGCTGGGGTCCGACACGAGTGGGGCTTGGAGGTGTGAGAGGGCACATTTAATTCTGCCTTGTGTCAGAGTAACAACGTGCTTTTGCAGCTGGAAACCTCCCTGGAGATTCCTGATCCACAGGCAGCCATTCTGGGCCCTCCTCCTGCTTGGCTGATCTGCTGAATGTGGCACAGGGGGCTCCTTATCTCCCTTGCTGGGAAGAGCAGTGCAGGAAGATAAGTGAGTGGCTGGATTTAAGCA